ATGTATTTGACCAAGTCCAAGGTCTCATGGACCAATTCACTCCAATCCTGCCTAAAATAATTTCAGTTTGATGAGTAATAAAATCAAATCGGGTATGCGCGAACCCTACGCTTGGTATTGCTGGCGCACAAAAACATAGCTAATAAAAAGTAAAAAAAAAAAGCCTCATAGATTAATTTACTCTAATCCTGCCTAAAAGAATTTCAAGTGCCGCGGCTATTGAGGATTTCCTCTTGTTTATTGCCCCCTAGTTGCACAGCGGTATGTCTGCGAACTTACAACGCTAGAATCCGCTAGAAAAGTAGTGTTTGATATTGTAGCTTTGTGCTTAATTACAAACAAACTCTTGTTTATTCTTCAGACGGCTTATAACCAGCGGTACAACAATGTCTGATGTTTTGGTACTAATTATAATCAGCAGTTTGAATATTTTTGATATTCTGGTACTATTTATAACCATCTGTATTAGTGTTTCTGATCTTTTGATATTAGTTATAACGACCAGTATAAAAGATTCTGATATTTTAGTCCTAGTTATAACAAGCATTTCGAATATTTCTGATGTTTTGGTACTAGTTATCAATACCGGCTCGAATATTTCTGATATTCTGGTACTATTTTTGACCATGTGTATTAATGATTCTGATGTTTTTGTACTGGTTATAACGACCAGGATATATGATTTTGATGATTTGGTATTAGTTATAATCAACAGTTAGGATATTTCTGATATTCTGGTAGTGTTTCTAACCGTCTGTATTAATGTTTCTGGTGTTTTGGCATTAGTTATAACCAACATTCCGAGTATTTCTGATGCTTTAGTACTAGTTATAACGATCAGTATAAATGATTCTGATGTTTTAGGGGCCCGGGTGATTAGGGCGCTCGACTTCGAATCCCCGTCCCATCAAACATGCTTGCCCTTTAAGTCGTGGAGGCGTTATAATGTGACGGTCAGTCTCACTATTCATTGGTAAAAGAGTAGCCCAAGAGTTAGTGGAGGTTGGTGATGACTAGCTGCCTTCCCTCTAGTCTTTCACTGCTAAATTAGGGACGGCTAACACAGATAGCTCTCGTGTAGCTTTGCGCAAATTTCATAACATACAAACCAAACTGATGTTTTGGTATTAGTTATAACCAGCATTTCGAATATTTCTGATGTTTTATTACTAGTTATAACCAAAAGTTTGAATATTTCTGATATTTTAGTACTGTTTGTAACAATTTGTACTAGTTTTTCTGGTGTTTTGGTATTAGCTATAACCAGCATTTCGAGTATTTATGATATTTTGATACTAGTTATATCCAGTTTTTCGAATATTTCTCATGTTTTGGTACTTGCTATATCCAGTAGTAGGAATATTTTTGATGTTTGGTACTAGTTATAAATTCCAGTTTGAATATTTTTGATATTCTGGTACTATTTTTAACCATATGTCTTAATGATTTTGATGTTTTGGTATTATTTATAACCAACACTTTGAATATTTCTGATATTTTATTGCTAGTTATAACCAACAGTTTCAATATTTCTGATATTCTAGTACTATTTGTAACCATCCGTAATAATGTTTCTGGTGTTAGTTATTATGACAAGTATAAAAGTTTCTGATGTTTTAGTACTAGTCATAACTAGTATTTCGAGTATTTCGGATGTTTTTGTGTTAGTTATAACCAGTAGTATGAATATTTCTGATATTCTGTTACTGTTTGTAACCATTTGTATTACTATTTCTGATGTTTTGGTATTAGTTATATAACCAACATTTCTAGGATTTCTGTTGTTTTGGTACTAGTTATAACCAGCAGTATGAATGTCCTGATTTTCTGGTACTACTTATATCCAACATTCCGAATATTTCTCATGTTTTGGTATTTGCTATAACCAGCAGTAGGAATGTTCTGATGTTTTGGTACTACTTATAACCAGCATTTAGAATATTTCTGATGTTTTGGTACTAGTTATAACTAGAGGTATCATTGTTTCTGATGTTTTTTAATTGGCTGAATACATCGCAGTTGCAGTAATTATAAAATATGGGTATAACCAGTCTGAATATCTTACAGTTGCAGTAACTATAAGATATGGTTGTAGCCACTGAACACCACAAAAGCTGTAGTAATTACAAGACATAGTTGTAACCAGTTTGAACACCACAAAGTTGCAGTAACTCCAACACATGGGTGTTACCAGTCTAAATATCTCACAGCTGTAGTAACTATACAAGACATAGGTGTAACCAATCTAAATATTTCACAGCTGCAGTAACTACAATACATAGGTATAACCAATCTAAATCTCTCATAGTTGCAGTAATATAGTTAGAAGTACATCTTCTAAGTGTACACCCCACAGTTACTTCAGCAATAAGCTAAAGTTACACAATAAGTCTGAATATGTGTACAGTAGCAGTAAGATACAAGTACACAATCAGTCTCTCAAGTTCATAATTACATAAACAAAAAGATACAAGTTTAATTTAATAAGTCATAGTCACAGCAACTACAAAATACGTATCCGTTATCCGGTTGAAAATAATCAATGGTTCATAACGTGAAACATTTTTTGAATAAGCCACAGTAACAACAAGGGTCTGATACAGAATTTAACCGAATGTGTCACAGTTAGTTTAACAAGGTAGTGAGTGATATATTATTTGATTGAATAAGCAACAAGGATCTGATACAGAATTTGAGTTAATGCGTCATAGTTACTTTAACAAGATACTCATACGTTATTTGACTGAATAAGTCACAGTAATAACAAGGGTCTGATACAGAATTTAACTGAATGTATCACAGTTAGTTTAACAAGGTAGTGAGTGATATATTATTTGATTGAATAAGCAACAGTAGCAACAAGGATCTGATACAGAATTTGAGTTAGTGCGTCATAGTTACTTTAACAAGATACTCATACGTTACTTGATTGAATAAGTCACAGTAATAACAAGAATCTGATACAGAATTTAAATGAATAAGCTACAAGTAATTAACGGCCCGACATGGCCAGGTTGTTAGGGCGCTTGACTCGCAATCTGAGGGTCGTGGGTTCGAATACCCGTCCCATCAAACATATAATGTGACG